CACATGAACCCAATTAAGTATTTTGGGATTCCCTTTCTTTTTAGTGATTAGCCATAATCAGTAATGCTTTTCATGGCCAAATGCCTTTAAATAGTTAATAAAGCAAAACCAGATATTCTTCTAGAATTCTCTGGTTTCTTCTAGGATCCGTCTGACATCAGCAGTTACATCCCTGGTGCCATAACCTCTTCGAAATTGAGCTTGAGCTCTTGGCAGTTCTTTGTCCTGCACTAGACATTTTTAATTATCTTCAACAAATATTTCACTTATATGTGATACGAAAGATATTTTTTGCTAATTTCCACATTTTGTTGAGTCACCTTCCTTGGGAATTGGAACAAATCGGAATTTCTTCTAGTCAGTTGGCTAAATAGCTCTCCTTCAAATTTACTGGCTGTAAAAAAAGCTAAGCTTACATAAAGATGGCCATATTTCACCTTTACTAGCTTTACAAAGGGAGCCTGTCTCCACCAACAGCATCAATAACAAAAACCCAATTCCCATGAGGTAAGACATGTCCCCCAACTCCCATATTTCTTTCCACTCATCTCACCACCTTGCTAGGTCCAAAATCCAAGATGGTAGCTCATAGACCACACAGAACCATGTTAGGAAAGTCAAAAGATTATAATCCAGGTTAGTATCAGAATACAGTCAGGATGGCTACCAAAATGTGTGCGCAGTAACATCAGCCTTGATCCTCATGGCTTTAGCCTAATGTTACGAAGTTCTTAGTCCTGCAAATTTTGACCCTATGTCCACTCCCAGTTGTCCAACAAACTTGGACAAAGGCTCTTAGCTCCAGTTTCAATGATGTAAGAGTCCCAAGGTCCCATCTCACTTTCGGTCTCTGTTTCCCTGTCTCATGTCAGATCTGTTTCTCTGCTGTGGCTGCTATGGCTGTTGGTCCTGTCGGCCCTCTTGCTTGTTCTTTTCCTGGTTTGTAGGTATTTTTGCCAGTGTCAGGGAGGTCTCATTCTCCCATTTCTGGATTTCCCAATTTTATGGTAAGACTAGTCAATTCTTTTGGGGATAGTTAGATGGTGAATCCCCTGTGGATGGGCTAACATACCCCATTCACATATTCCCATCTATCTACATAGCAAAGTCAAACTATGGCTAAGAAGATAAACTCCACACTGGCTTATACTGCAGAGCATAGCCACTGCTACATCTTTTAGTCAAAACATACCAATTGATAGCCCATTAATTCCTGGGGCCTTATTTTATGCCAATGCCTTCAGTGCAGTTTGGACTTCTTCCTTTATCATTATCGACTCTTGATAAAGTGGTACTTCCTGAAATATTTCAGCATTGGCCAATTCTTTTTGGTGCAGTGATTCTTTGTATTCCTTCCATCTGCTTTTTTTTTTTCAGTTGTTTGAGGGAACTTTAATGCAAATAGAAAAATTAATAATAATGTTGTACAAGAACAATGAAGAAAGATCTGTTCAGGAAGTTTTGCCTTTTAAAAGTAGAAAAAAGTCATTGAATTAGGATTGTTAAAAGCTAGATGCAATTTTAGGCTTCATTACAACCCCTGTGCTTCACAAGTGATGAATCTGAAGCCCAGAGGTTAAGTGACACATTCAAGGTCACACTACTGAAAGCAAAGCTGCAGCCATCTGCTTTTGATGCTTCCTAAATCCATAATGACTTTGCCAATAGCATCTCTCAATTAGGAAAAGTGTCCATCAGGGTTATATCCTTTTTCCATACCTACTCAGTCTGTCTGCTATTCAAATTATTATAATCTAGACTCTACAAAGAGTGTGGCATCAATATCAGAGAAAGGTTCATCAGCAACCTCCATTATACATATGACACAACCTTTTTTGCTAAAAGTAAAGAGGACTTGAAACACTTGCTTGTTGTACTTGTAGAAAATTAAAGACTACGGTCACCAATATGGGTTGCATTTCAATGACAAGAAAACAAATATTGTATTACTGAATCAATAGACAACATCATAATAGATGAGAAAAGATTGAAATTCTTACTAACTTCATCTTGGATCCACAATCAGTACCATTGGTACCAGCAGTTAAGAGATCAGGAGACATATTACACTAGCAAAGTATGCAGTCAAGGACCTCTTCAAATTATTGAAGAGCAATGATATCAGTATGAAGACTAAGGTCTTCAGGACATTTTCTTTTCAATCACTTTCTATGCATCAGTGAGCTAGGCAATGAATAAGGATGACGGGAGAAGAAATGATACTTTTGGAGTGTGGTATTGAAGAAGAGTACTGGATAGCCCATGGACAACCAAAAGAACAAGCAGGTCTTGAAGAAGGGTCAGGTCAAGTAAGTATTCCTTGGAGGCCAAAATAGCAAAGCTTTATTTCACCTTCTTTGACCATGTAACTAGGAGAAGCTATTCCTTGGAGAAGGACATCAGGCTTGGAAGGTGGAGGATCAGAGAGCGAGAGGAAGACCCTCAACCACATGGTTGACACAGTGCCTGCAGCAATGGACTTAAATGTGTCAGAGATGATGAGGATCTAGCTTAACTTTGTCATAAGTTGAAGCTAACATTTTTAAAGGAATTCTGGTGGCATTTGGAACTGCTAACTGTAAGGCTTTCAATCTACTAGCCTTTACACACACACACACCCACACACAAGGGATATCGTCTCCTATAAAGATGTGCAACATCAAAAGACTAACTGAGCATGGCTAGGAGTCAAACTCAACTCAGCAGCTTGTGGATAACCTTGTGTAAGTAACCAAGAAACAGTATTCTTGCAACAACAAGTCTACTATAGGAGCTCTTGTCCTACAGTGTTACTAACCCAAAGGTTTTACCATTCTAGTGGTTCAAATCCTCAGGAGAAAGATGAGCAATCTCTTTTCACATCCTGCACAGCCTCAGAAACCTAGTGGAGGATCAGCTATGAGTTGGTTTGACTCAACAAGCTATGATTTTGAGACTTTGTTTTAAATCCTCATGTGCCTATGTTTTTCATTGTGTGTTTATTCGTAGTTCTTGGTACGAATTTCTGAAAAATAATTAAATCATGGCTGTCAAGTTGGAACCTGCTCATAATCAACCTCCCTTTGGGTTTCCAGAGGCTGTTCATCACTAAGAGGGAGGTCACCAATCTTCCTCTTGCAGAGCAGCTGGTGGATTCGAACCACCAGCTTTTGTGTTGACAGCACAACTCCCTATCCTCAAGGTGATGGAACACCCTGAAATGTAGTAGAGGCTCAAAAAATTTTGTCAAGATAATAAATGAAGATGTTGATGAGAGAGTGTCTAAACCTACAATTCTGAGGTGCTGAGGTACAACATGCAATCTGAATTACTTAGATAATCTGGTAAAAATCATTTTCGTGTATACCAATACATTTATATTAACATTTTATACCTATCTGGCTCTTAATGCCCATTTCCCATATAACACACACACACACACACACACACACACACACACACACACGAAATCCAGACAGTTTAGCTTGGCCTGGTGGCCTTATACAAATGCAATTTATTTTTATAGTCAAGAGAAAAGTCCTGAATCTTTTCAGAATAACCTGATCCCAACAGAGTTAAATAAAGTTGTTCATCCTTTCAAGATTTTTCACATACTTCTGTCTTTCTAGACTGTGAAGTAAATTTCCATTCCCAAAAATCTCTGGTGCCAATTTTAATGATCTTATCCATGTGACATGCATTTTTTTTCATTGCTATTAATGAGTGACAAGTGCAGGATATTCATTTTAACTTGAAAATGTCAGGTATGCACTTTAAGAGATATATTTTTTGCAGCTTTTAATGAGGCGGTGTTTCTTTTTGAAAGAAATACTCATCTCTGGTGCTGGTACTGTGCAGGTGACAACTGATATTTAATAAGCGATGGCTCTTGTATTAGTCGCAGTTCACTAAAGAAAATGTCTCAGATTGCTTTTGAAAAAACTCTTAGCGTCACTAGCCCAAAGGCAAGATGTGACCTTTTTATTACATAATGAGAATCATTTATTATCTTACAATGTATCTTAAAGTCACAGACAAAATGCCACTTTGATAATTGCTTTCAATTAGCTTTGAGCATAGCATATATTCATAAAATGTCTTCTCTAATTTAGACTTGAATTAGAGAAAATTGCAGACATAATCTACTTTAAGGTTGTCTCATTTAAGGTGATTCGTAGTTTTATATCAAAGAAATCAAAACGAGTAGCTTTAGAACAGTCTCTCAGAATGTTTTAGGCAGGCTTTTCAATATTTTATTCTATTCTATTACCAATTAATTATCAAATTAGAAAGCTAGTTCATCATTTTTGACCTTTTGTGCATGTTAACTTTTGACTCTCATTTCTAATGATTGTTTTGAAGTTAAGCCTTGCAGTTCGTGTTCAGAGAAAGAAACAATCTGATTAGCCAGATAAATAAGGCTTGCCTAGATACCAAGAACATCTTTATGGAAGACTATAACTCGGCTCCTGAATATTGTAATGGTACATCCTTTCCTACCTCAATCAGTGATACACAACAAATAGTCAAGAAATTACAGTATTTATTCTTATAGCTGATTAGGGAGCACTAGGTAAGAGTGTCATGCTGGGGAAGGTGGAGGGGCAGGGGAAAAGACCCTCAGTAAGGTGGATTAACACAGTGACAGTCAACGTGGGCTTGACGTATCAGAGATGGTTAGGATGGTGGAGATTTAGATCAGTTACTCATAGGGTTGCTGGGAGTCATAGTTGACTCAATGGCACCTAACAACAACAGGTAAGGTCAGAGGTAATATGCTGATAATATCTGAAATATGACTTTGATAATTTTTGTTAGTGTGCTGAGAATTGGGATATGCTTATATGCATATCTTCATCTTCTTTTCAGCTAGTCTTTTGAGATAATAGAAACTCTGGAACTGCAGTTTACAATTTTGATGTTTCAGCATCTCATGAAATATTAGTAACTTTAACAGAGATTCTTGCAAATCAGTATTGTATCTGGGGCTTATTTTATTCTCTCTTTTCTTTTCCCCCTAGATAAAAATTACTCACAAGAACCAAGCCCCGATGTTGATGGGCCCTCCTCCAAAAACTGGATTATTCTGCTCCCTTGTCAAAAGAACAAGAAACCGAAGCAAGGAATAATCCTATATTATTTCCTTCATAGAAATCTAATTAGCATAATTGGGCCATGGAACACTTCTTCTGGAAATCTTTGAACCACTTCAAGTCTCCTGCTCATGCAAAATCATGGAATTGGTTTAACAGTTTTTATTATGGAGTTAGTGTAAAGTTCAGCTATTAGAAGATTTATTGTCTCTGTTTTTATAGGCACCTTTGCATGAAAAAAAATATGTTTCTATTGAGTGATAATGCATTTTTTGTTGCATGCATTCCCATAGCTTTTATGTCTTCCACTCATACTTTCCAAATTTCCATTTAACTATGTGTAGGATAAACCTGTGAAATAGATTTTTAAAAATACCATGAAAAATGTGATCCTTTCTGAGTGATTCCAATTACTGATAATCATTAAATAGTAATGCTACAATGATTGTGATTTTAGGTTGTTCTGTTTTTTTGCTTTAAGAATCAAAACAAAGAAGAATGAACTTTGACCTATGATTTGAGGAGAGACTTTAAATGAAAAGATTTTATTAAATAGTTGGCTATGAAACCTTGCTATATGTAAATAGTTTTTTCTTCAGTGCTTTTGAGTGGAATTTCAGCTATGAGGTATAAAGATTTTTGTGTGCTGAAAAATAGAAAATTTTGTTGTTATTTTTAATTCCAAAAATAAGAGCAAACATATTACTTGGAAGTGTGATAATTTGACAAGCCTTATTCATTTTTGCATGTGAACCTAGAAGAAAATTTATAATAGCACCAGTAACCAAATGTTTTAAACTATGTGCCTAATAAACTGTATTTCCCACCAAAGACTCAGCAAGAGATGCTTGGGAGAAATGGGTTAATGTATAATTAATTAAGCATTTTGAAGCAAATTTATGGTTATTATGATTCATTTGGTGATGTCAAAAACTCTGGAAGAGAGTGACTTATCCATTAATTATAATTAAATACCTACTATTCACAGACAATAGACCATATAACACAATCACAACTCAAGAGCTGATTTCTTACTGTTTTGGTCATTTATAAATATAGGTATCTGAAATCTTTAACGAATCAGTTAAATTCACATGAAGGAAATAAATTATTGTATCAGTTCCTTTGAGCATTAAATTGGTACCGGTAATAATATTGAGCCAATTGAAGTAAATCATGCATGCAATTAGCCCTCACCTCACTGTCTTTTACATTTCAAATATTTATTTGGAAATGATGGCCTAGGTCATTGTTTAAAGTGTTCATGGTATAGTTGGATTCTCTGTTTAAAGAAATCACACAACAGGATTTTTCTTAATGCTTCACTAAGCCTATGATGTAAAATGAAATGCTATTCTGAGCAGTCTTGGAATTGTTGTTCCTTCATATTGACCTGCAACTCATCATCGCATGCTTTATGTTTTCAAACATGCCGTAAGGAAAACAAGTGCTTGAAATGCATGATTTATTAGTTTTCTCTCTCCACTCTGCATTAAAGTGCTAATGATTTATCAGTTCTATTTTTCTATTGATTCATTCATCTTTGAATAACAAATAGCATTTAGTGATTCTGTTGAACACAATTCTGTGCATGGATTTATGGATTTCAAGTGAAATTGCTATAATTTTAGTTCTTTGGTTTGAAAACTCAGCTGAATGTCGTTATATCAAATAGCTACTCTCAAGCAATGTACTATAGTGGGAGGTTATGTGTAAAGTGTATTCTTGTAGTGTTCCAGGAACATTGGATGGTAAATATCAATCAACAATAAGTTTAATTGCTTTAAAAATAAAGTCTTTTCAATAAAATTAAACCACGATTTAGCATTCCCAAGATAATTATCATTACAATTGCAAATGCAGCACAGCAGTTGTATACTCTGGTATTAAAAGAGGAAAAAATGTAACAAAACCAAGATTGTGTGGGAAAGTAGTAAACTAAACGAAACTAAATCTCAAAGCAGTAACAGACACCTTGTTGGCACAATGTTACATAACACACATACATTGATTTTATTTTTTTATCATGTAGTTCTGGTGGCTTAGTGCTAAGAAACTACACAGCAATCCCAAAGGCATGCAGTTCAATTTTACCAGTTGCTCTGTGAGAGAGGAATGGACAATCTCCTTCTCATGCAAAGTACTGCTTCTGAAAGCCCGCTAAAGGTTCAGTTATGAGTCAGTTCTGACTTGATGATGCACGACAATGTTCACATGAGTTGACAACATTTTCTATAAATGGGCATACAGGTTTTGTGTTACAAATATATTTTGTAGTGACAAATTATGTTCAGAACAATATACAATTTTTCTTAGCTACATTTCCTAGCAGACAGTGTGAAACATCAATAGTTTGTGAGTCATTCTGAATGATCCGTTCAGTGAAAAGCTCTTGAATAGATGGTGAGATGAGATCAGTTAAACACCCTACCTATATGACTTCTTCAACAGTGGAGTAATAAGATATACAGCTCCACCTCAATGCAACCACATAACGACAGGATAAGAGGTGTCACTCAGATTTTACTTCAGTTGGAGTTGTTGATATCAATAGTGAACACTTGAATATGAGTTAGATGTTACTTTTCTAACCTCGTTTTCTAAACTACTGATATGCTTGCTTTGAAAGAAAGCTATTCTTGGGGTTTATGGTTTTGAAGTCGGAAAATATATATTCTCCATTTTTATGATAACTTCAAGTGAAAAAATTCTATCTTAATGGAATTTTACATGGTGAATCCTGTGGTATATTGTTGTTATTGTTATGTGCCTTGGCATCAGAACCAACTTATAACGGACCCTCTATGTTCCTTAGCATCAGAACCAACTTATAACGGACCCTCTATGTTCCTTAGCATCAGAACCAACTAGAGGCAATGAATTGCACAGGAGGAGATTGTCCATCTTTCTCCTGAAGAGCAGCTGATGGATTTGAATCCCATGCCTTTGGGGTTGCAATGCAGTTCCTCATCACTAAGCCACAAAAACTCCCTATATAACGTTGTTGTTGATTGCCTTCAAGCTGAGCACAACTCATAGTCACCCTATGAACAAAAGGCCTAAAGCCCCTCTAAAACTGTCAACATTTATCAAAGTTCTGGTGATTTATCAGAGTTTCCGGTGATGTGTTGTTTAGGAAGTGGATGCTACTTCTGCTTCCAAAAAGACAGAAGTAGTGAGACTGGCTCAGGACAGGGAAGGGTTCAGAGCTTCTGTACATTGCAAGCAACTCAGTGGCACATAACAACAATAACATGCTATGACTGGTTTAGTTTAGTTTTTAAAAACCCAAAGACGTCCTCCTTCCAGCCCAACCTCTGCAATCCAACAGGAAGTGGAGTGTGCAAGTGAAAGGCATTGGTTAGACATTAGACCTGAGGTGGGAGCTCACCCATTAAGCAAGAATTTATAGGTGGAATGCTAGGGAACAAGGATACACTGTACAATTCACCGAAGTCTAAGAGAGAAAGGCCATGGTATATTAAAATATTGAACAACAAACGTTATCTTTCACATGAAAGAAATTTGTCTTCTATGTGTATAGGTGGATATTTGAGTTGTGGAGTAAACCTTTTTTAAATATAATATGCATAGCGGTACAAAGTTTTAGGCAGACTAAATAAATAAAAATTTAACTCTGAGCTTATGAGGATTAGAAGAAAAGAGATAGCCACTAACATCCATCAAACACTATTCTTAAGAAGAACTAGAAATTTTAAAGGCATAAATATGTATTTTCATTTATATATGTATTTGATGCTAATAACTGATAAATTTATTGATGAGAAGAAAATATTTTGTAGGAAATAGGGAAAAATAACATTTTAAACTATTTTTTTTTCATTTGAAACAGGCCATGTACAAACAGAAAAAAACAAGATGCTCAGATTCTTAGATTAGATAGATACATGAAAATTCCAATCCAGTCAGGACTAATGAATCACAATATACGCATCACACACACACACACACACACACACACACACACACACACACATCTATCTCCACATTTTGTTCTGTTTTCCTTTTATAGAGGATGGAATTCAATTGCAATTTTGAAGGAAGAATCTGTTTTTGAATAACAGATTGTATTTTACTTGAATGAGACTAGATTTCTAAATGGCTTCATTCCTTTTGGTATCAAACTTAGTTTTGTCTATTTTTGGAAAAGGAAGTTGGACTATTCTTGGCATATCTGAGCCCTCCCTTAAAGGATATATTAAAATAAAGTTCATATATTCAAAATTAAAAGCCTAAATCCTTATTGTATATATTATGAATGTAAACTTTAACAAAAATAGTGAAAATCTGCAAGAGAAGAACTTTGATTTTGTGAAAGACAAAACATTTCTTAAAACTCCCAATTAAATTACATTGTATTAAAATGAAGTTTGAGTTAACACGTTTAAAATATTCTTTTAATACTTACTATGTTTAAAATATGAAACTCCCTTAATTCTAATTATTCTTATTATTTTCTCAAAAAGTGTTACAGTCAATATTCTGCTTTTTGAAATAAAAATGTTAACCGTTCAGTTCAGTGTCATTCTTTACTGTCACGTTTACCAATAATTAAAGATTTCAAGCGGCCCAACAATCTATCTACCTGTCTACTAGAAGTACTCAGAGGAGCAATGCTGCTTTCTGCCCAGGAGGATTGAATGCAGGTATTTGGTTTGTGAATTTTGTGTCTTTTACAACTCAATTGTTCTTCTTTATGGGGCCTCAGCCATTAAGTTGTTGCTGCAGACATTATCCCAGTAATTTTAAATATCTCATGAAAGTCAACAAACTAGCTATTGAAAGAAGAGAAGTGAAAGATTGAACCAAGATGTCTGATAGATTGGAGTTAAATTTTTCTGAATAAAACCAATTTCTAGTGGTTTGGGTTGGTTGGATTTTTTGTTTTGTTTGTAAAACGTATTCTAACAAATATTTCTTGAACACTGATTATATTTAAGATATATTTGCTTATGTCTGAAGTTTTATTTTTTTAAACTCTTAAGTTTTTATCATCTTCTGAATACAATTAAAGAAAATTAATGACCATACTATATGGTATCGTAAGGTAAGAAAAACGATAAGTAAAATGAGATGTATATGCAAAGGAGTAAAGAGTGATTTGGTTGGGAGGACTTGGGAGAAGGTCTATCTGCAAACAGCTTTTAAGAATTGCTAGAATTTAAATGAGAAAGATAATAGGGGGGAAATTGTCAAGAAGAAAATGAATCTGCATTTTGATCAGGAATTTCTGCATCTTCATTTATTTTTTTTATAGTTTGTCTCCTCAATCTGAATGTCCACTAGCACTGTAAACTCCAACTCTCCAAAATGTAATTCACCCCTCTCCCCATTATCACCTGTTCCTACTTATGTGTTTGTTCTCAATTAGTCTCTCAAGTCAGCCTCTAAAGATAAGCCTCAAACACTCCCTCTTCTAAATGGTTAATCACGCCCATTCATCCATTTTATTACCTCAATATTTATCAAGTCTATTCCCTCCGCCTTTCCTTATGTAGTCATCATTCCATACCTATATTATCATTTCAGTCAAAAGTGCTAGATTTAAGCTTTATACATGGTTTGTTGTTGTTAAGTTCGTCGAGTCGTAGAAGACTCATAGTGACCCTATGAACGAAAGACCTGAACACTTGTATAAATTTCGTCGTTCTCCACGTTCATATTTTCCAGGGGCAAACCATTTCAGAAGTGGATGCCACTCCTGCTTCCAAGCTTATTTTAATCAGGAAGCTCCACCAAACACTGTCCACCATGGATAACCATAATTGTATTTGACACATTAGTGTTACAGTATTCAGCTTCACAGCAACCACGAGTTACCACTGTACAGCAAATGGACAGACCAGTGCTATACCACTTAGAAGATTACTTCTACATATGTTGTTTGTTGTTATGTGCCGCTGAGTCGTTTGCAACTCATAGCGACCCTATGTACAACAGCCCTAAACTCTGCTCTAGCCTGTGCCAATCACATTGCCTCTGACACACTCATCCCGATTACCCCAGTCACTGAATGAATCCACTTCATAGAGGGTCTTCCCCTCCTGTGCTGTCCCTTCACCCTACCAAGCATGATGTCCCTCTCCAAGGACTGGTCTCTCCTTACAACATGTCCACAGTATGTCAGACGAAGCCCCAGATTCCTTGCCTCCAAGGAGTAGCCTGGTTTACCCCTCTCCAGGATGAATCTGTTTGTTTTCTTGGCAGTACATTCAATACTCTTCTCCAGCACCACAGCTCAAAGGCATCAATTCTCCTTCTGTCCTCCCTAGTCATTGTCCAACTCTCTGAGGCATAACAAATGATTGCAAAAACCATGGCCTGTATCAGGCGCACCTTAGTCTCCAGAGAGACACCGTTGCTCTTGAGTACTTTAGAGAGGTCCCTAACAGCAGACTTTCCCATTGCAATACGTTTTTTTATTTCCTGGCTGCTGGTCTTGATCTTGACCGTGGAGCTGAGCAAACTGAAGCTGTGAACAATCTCAATCTCTTCACCATCCATCCTGATGATACCAATTTGTCCAGTGGTGAGAATCTTTGTCTTCTTGACACTGAGCCTCAATCCATACTGAAGGCTACATATATAATTCCATAAAATTTAATGAGATCTCATTAAGGAAAATAATTCCATAATTAAAAATAAGACTATATAGAAAGATAAATAATTGGCCCACTTGTTTTTCTGACTACTGCTTGCTTCTTTGAGTATCTCTTGGTCATCTGTTTCCTACTCACTGACAATGAGTTTGATTTTCATTGAGTTTATAGAAACCATTTTTGTAATGGTTTTTTTTTTCTACAGATAGAATAAAAAGATAGTGTTTCCTCTAATACATTTGAATAAAAGGATGGACAATCTCGCGTGTGATTAACGACCTCTGAAAACCTGCCGGAGAGTCGGTTCTGACTTGATGAAACACAACAAATCTGATATATTAGAATAACTTTATACCTACAGATTTCACTTCACAAATTTGGGAGGTCAGAAGGCCAAGAAAGCATA